TATCTCAGTCAACTCATACTTTATTACCAGCAAAGCGTGGAAAACAACCGCTCTGACAAAAACATAATTTTACTCTCCAAAAACGTGGAGTTCACATTTGCATCTCAAAATACATGGTCAACACAATTCACTGTTCACTCATGCTACCTCTCTGTTTTCATGTGAAAACATTGTCCGTTACAATATGTAAAGAAACTTTATTATAACTTATTATTAAAATAATGTCACATTATTCCTAGTGGGCCTTTGCTACCAAGAGATTACATAAAAGTGGTGTTAGGATCATAACTATAAATGGTAGCATGTTCCAAGACACTTTACTTTAATTAACCTATACTATAATTTTATAACACAGTAAAGGGGGGGGGGGAGTCTATGCTTTAATGGTTTTTATTTAGGATGAAGAATGACTTTAATAAGGGTTCTTGGTTTCATTATCTATAGTGTCTATGCTGTATGTTGTCTAGTTTTTCTATACAATAAATTAAAAATGGGATAATTCATGGAAGTTTAACAATTATAGGAAAAAGGTCCCCGTTAATAAATTAAAAAAAAGTCCGAGCTTACATTAATTTATATTCATTATAACTCTACTAAACACGTTTTTTTAGACTATATTTAAATTTATTTCGCATAGTTGAGCAAAGCTGTATGATAGGATTACACTGCTAGGCCTACTATTTAATATGCATCAAGTCAATTATAAATTAATACAAACTCAATAAAAGTCAACAATCTTAAAATACCCCAAATAGTATGGTATTTGGTATGATTCTGGAAAGTATGTCATTTTGTCTTGAGGCAGGTAAAAGTGTCAAAAGAACACTTTACTTTGTGTGTGTGTGTGTTATATGTAAAGAAACTTTATTATAACTTATTATTAAAATAATGTCACATTATTCCTAGTGGGCCTTTGCTACCAAGAGATTACATAAAAGTGGTGTTAGGATCATAACTATAAATGGTAGCATGTTCCAAGACACTTTACTTTAATTAACCTATACTATAATTTTATAACACAGTAAAGGGGGGGGGGGAGTCTATGCTTTAATGGTTTTTATTTAGGATGAAGAATGACTTTAATAAGGGTTCTTGGTTTCATTATCTATAGTGTCTATGCTGTATGTTGTCTAGTTTTTCTATACAATAAATTAAAAATGGGATAATTCATGGAAGTTTAACAATTATAGGAAAAAGGTCCCCGTTAATAAATTAAAAAAAAGTCCGAGCTTACATTAATTTATATTCATTATAACTCTACTAAACACGTTTTTTTAGACTATATTTAAATTTATTTCGCATAGTTGAGCAAAGCTGTATGATAGGATTACACTGCTAGGCCTACTATTTAATATGCATCAAGTCAATTATAAATTAATACAAACTCAATAAAAGTCAACAATCTTAAAATACCCCAAATAGTATGGTATTTGGTATGATTCTGGAAAGTATGTCATTTTGTCTTGAGGCAGGTAAAAGTGTCAAAAGAACACTTTACTTTGTGTGTGTGTGTGTGTAAAAGCGGAGAACCGAATGTCCAAATCTGGAAAGAACACCTTAAAGTTAAGCTTAGGGCTAGGGCCTACTTGTTTACGGCGATATTGCCGATGATAGCATTAGGCAGTACGCTCATCATATTATAATTATATAAGTAATACATTTCATTGTCAGAGTCGCTCTGAGAGTGTCCGTAAGTTAACATTTATTGAGAAGAACAAATAACTCGCAGTCTAATTCTAATTGCAAAGCTAAAATAATTTGCCAACTTTATTATTGCTCGTTTTTTAATTATTTTTTAAAGCCGCAACGCTTTGCTGAGCAGAATTATTTTTTAACTCTAATTTATTAACCAATGAAACTAATTATAAAAATATATATGCATTTAATAAGTAGAAAATTGTATGTGGCACGTTTTCTAAGTGTTTCGGGCATTTTAAAATTTAACACAAATTCTATTCAATTTCATTATTTTTGTGGTCACATGTCGTGCGTTCAGTTGTCTATGGGTTCAGTTGTCAGTGTGGTCACTTGTCTGTGGGTTCACTTGTCCGTGGGTTCACTTGTCCGTGGGTTCACTTGTCATGGGTTCAGTTGTCTTAGGTTCAGTTGTCGTAGGTTCACCTGTCGTGCGTTCAGATGTCTGGGAACCGCAAAATAGATGTTACAGATTTTGCAAATCCACTCAAGTAGCTATTATTGTTACTGACGTTACTTTCCCCTGATTCTCAAAATATTGTATTCCTACTCTATCAATATAATTTAATTTATCTTGAATGCACATGACAATTGAACCTTGTCATTGTCCATACCTGCAACCAGTGGCGTAGCGAGGGTGTTTGGCGCCCGGGGACAAGACCCATGTTAAAGCGCCCCTTTTTCTTTTTTTCAACTCTCAAACCCATTATTTTCATCGATAAAATAATATCAAAGCACATTTTGGCGCCCCTAACTAGCTGGCGCCCGGGGAATCTGTCCCCCCTGCCCCCCCCACGCTACGCCCCTGCCTTGCAACATGATCGCAAAGATTACGCCCCCCCCCCCCCCCCCCCCCAGTCATTTGCGACAAATTGAATCTACAGGTGAAGAGGGCCACCTTTTGTCACTTTCGACTTCTCTTGCACAAACAAAGTGTGCTAACATTCTGACAGGTCATCTGCAGTGCACAGACAGACACACGTTAAATAAAATATATATTGTTAGAAGCCTAAAAATTATATGACTATTTAAACTCATTTGCACTTTAAAATTTTTTTTAAATAATGTCATACACAGTTAATTTTTCAAGATTAAAATTTTAATAGAGAACACATGATTGTTGACGTCACCTAATCTAAACCCTCTCCCTCCCCCTTTTCAAAAACTGTCAAACATTTCCAAACCCCGTCCCCCCCCCCCCCAATTTTGTTGACATAATTAATGGACGCCCCCAGCCCTAAGTAGTAAGTAAATCATGGTCATGGTACCTACTTTTTTTCTCAAAGTCAAGAGTCAAACAATTCATTTACAAATAAAAGTACTAAGACTAATTTATGACTAGACTATTTCCATGATTAAGTAATGATTGAATCATTATTGATTATTGTCAAATTAATTTTACCGAGTATTTCAATTTCCTAATCATGCCCCCCTAATGTTTTGTTTACCGTACATTTAAAAAAAAAATGTGTCGGCTATTCGTTTTAGACTAATCCTTAATTAAAATTAGAATTAGGCTTACACTTACGTCGTTATAGACTTTATAAATTTAGCCGTCTTCATTAATTTTAATCTAATCTAAGGCCTGGTTAATAATTTAGTTTATATGTTTACATCGTGCTGAATAGCATACATTAAATAAAATTTTGATTTGCAGTCAGTCTGATTATAAACTTACGATCCCCGTCCCCACATTCACACACACGCTCAGTTCACAATCATTCACATTTTTTTTCTTGAGCTCTGACTAGTTAGTCTGACTCTGATAAGATAGCCTGAGTGGTCCAAACTCTATCACTACACTCTACACATCTACATTGTGGGGTACAGTATACATAATACAGTTTCACTAGGTCTTATTCAATTAAATAAAAATAATTTCCACTTCCACGTTTAGTCTGTTCTAATTCGAATGTTTTCATATGTAAGTGCAAGGGTAGGAGACGTAGACGTAGTGTTAGCGCAGCCGCAAGTTCAAAATAGGTAGGCGTTCAGCTAATCCTGCCTTACTTACACTTACTGGCCTTACTTACTCTTTCTTACCAGTTTTCAAGTATTTACACCTTTTACTTTTTTAAAACTTACAACACAATAACTCAAAATTAATTATTATTATATATTAACTTTTATTATTTATTAATACAAGTTTGACAATTCTACTTATAATATAACTTATTAATTAAGATTAATAAACTTAATCTGAATCTAAATAATTTATTTTGCAGGAAATAAAATGGAATTGATCTTTTCCCTCTGACTCTGATTCAGCAATAAAGTTTAATAAACAATTTCATTGTAATATACATGTCATGTAGTTCCCATAATATGGCCATATTCATATTATTATATTTGCATGCCATATGGTGTGGTCATATAATATATATAGGCCTATATATACGTATTCCTTAAGTACAATTTTAACTTGGAGTTACCTTAAGAGGGGGAAAAAATGTTTTCTTAGTTTAAACGTTTAATTTAAGTTTCATTCATTTGAGTCTAAACTTGCTAACAAAGACTATGGCAAATTCATGTTAAAAGTGCTCAAGAGTCATTGGATTTTATTTTTATGGAATCTATATTTGCACTCTTTTACAAATTCCAGAATAAACTGAAATAAATTTTCCGATGGCGGGGCGACTTTCTGTATATCAAGTTGCAAAAATTGTAAGACTGAATGTTTTACCAGGTTCATCTACTCAAAAGGGAAAGAAAGGTCATCAAGGTTTTTAACATGTATCAGTACAAATAATGTTTTTTGAAGAAAATGTTTGGTCTATAAATGTTTTGCTTATCTTAGTAAATAAAATAACATTGCAAAATAGCTATGTTGTTGTAGGTTAGTAACTGTTGTTTTTTTAAATCATAAAAATAAAACATTCATTCATAAGCCCAAAAATCTTTTCACCAGCTACATCATTTTTTAAAAACCAGAAAGCTGCAACTGTCAGCATACCATGGCCTTCAAGTGTAATATATGGGCTTCATCAGGCTTATTCTACTGTGGCTGAAAAGGTAAAAAAAATATAATAAATATTTTAGTTTATTGTTGGCTGTAGTAGAGAACTAGTCTATATTGTAATTTAATTCAAATTTTATGAAACGTTTTAAATTAACTTGACACGTGTCTTTTATCAAATGTAAATTATATTTCTTTTCAGCCCAAATTGATGGAAAATGTTACTTCGGCATGTCTTCATAATAGTGGTAAAACTTGCTTTGTGGTCTGGAAGGATGGATTTCATACAGAGTAAATTTATTATTGACATTTTCAAAACTATTTGCTATTTGTACAATTAATGCGATGCATAAAAAATACACTTTCCAATGACCACAGAGTGGAAAAAACACCTACTCTTGTAGATATTAGCAAGCAAAATGTTCTAATATGCTTAATCTGATTACCATTTAGACCACTTTTTCATTGTCTGTCAAATTATTTTATTATGAAATAATAACTAATTCTTTGCAATTATGGCAATATTTGAATTTGTAATTGATTTTTTACCCTTTATATGCTAGGTTTCATAGTGTTTGGTTGAGACAAAACTGTCATTGTGAGATGTGTAGACATGAAAATGGACAGAGGGTTTTGAACCCAGCCAACATTCCCACAAGTAGTTTAATGCAGAATTTATTTCTTGAAGGTGAAAACGTTTTTACAAGTTTTTAAGCAGGAATGAAAAATTATTCTTTTATCCTTTACATAAATCATACTAAATATTTAAACATAAAGGTATCTTAAACTATGGATTTTTCAAGTCTGTGATGCTTTTAAGTTTTTGAAAAATCTGTAAGTTCTCTATCAGTTTATCTATGGTTAAAAAAAAAATTTAATCTAAGACTACTTTTTGTAAATTAAATTTTTGAACATATCGTTTTTCTGCTATATCAGGAACTAAACTTAAAGTGACATGGTCTGGAGCTTATGGTAATCATGAAGGCTACATACCATTGAGTTTCCTAAGAGAACACAACTACAGTCAGGAATCTATACTAGCGAGAAGAAAAGCTGTTAAATGTGAAAAAACATGTTCAGTAAAGACAATATTACTTACATAATCTTCATCTGGTGAAATATTTGTTTTTCAATCTGATGCTGCAGAACTATAAGCTTATAAAAATTTTTTATATAAATTTAAAAGAAGCAAGGCAATACATGCAATCTTCTGTCACATAACATTATCTGAACATGTAAATTAAAATATAAGCTGATAGTTTTTTTTTTGGGTACTTTAGCTTTAAACTTTAAATAAAATTAATTGTTAAGAATCTATAGTAAATTATTAAGTGTAGTAAATTTATTATCACATGTTGTATTCATATTTAAGTTTATGTCAATCAGTTTTATAAATCCTCTATTCAAAGGTTACGATGCTTCAATTTGGGTATTATAAAATATATTTATTAAAATGACTACAGATGATAAATTAATTGCCTACCATAGTTTTTTGCAAGGAAATGGAATGCAATAAAGTTTACTTCTTTAAAAACTAGTGCTTCTTTTCATTTTTGTTTTTCTCAAAGAAAATTCCAACCATTACTTTTGAAGAAATAAAGCAGTCTAAAGATGGACTTTTAAAGTAAGTTTTTTTTCCTTCACATTTCTTTTTAAGTAAATTTCTTTATTTTAACATTTTATTAAATAGCTATCTTGATGTAATTGGAGGGCAGGCATATTTTAAGTTTTTAATCCTTCTAATTAATGCAGATGGCTTTATCAAATCAATGAAGAGGGACTCAGCATTGTAAATGGTGTGCCAACTGAAGAATCCATGGTACAAGAGGTAAAAGACAAATTTTTTATGATATTACTTTCACAGTTATTGGTCAAAATAATTAAATGGCCATACATACATGCCAACCTATATGGTTTACCTATACTTTTTTTTTTTTACATTTTATGTATGTTTGTGAAGTTGTAAGACCATGCAGGCTTTTGTACAGTTTTTAACAGGATGTAGAACAGAAATATTTTTGCACATGAAACACATTCAAAACTGGTGGTGGAATAAATGCAACATTGGAAACGAGAAGCTTACAACAAGAAGCTTACATCCTATTGGTCTGTTCAAAATGACTTAATTGAGGATCGTTAGACCATGTAAATTTAGAGACAGCGCTATTTCATTGATGTTATTCGTTAATAAAAAGACAGCAAAGTATGTTAGAAATTACATTGAGTAGTAAAACATAATTACAAATCCAAGTGTGTAATTCATAATAAGAACTGCAGTGTTAGTTAGTGTTCTTTTAATTTATATTAATATTAATTCAATATATTTTATATTGCTGTGCATTAATGACTCTCATGTGGAGGCGTTGACCTCCCATCGGGCACCTAAACCATTTGGCAGTTTGGGGAACGCCAGCCAGGTATGCCGGTTACTGCGGAAATAAAATGCACAGGCGGACCAAAGCCAGGAACTGGTACCTTGCAGTTAGCAAAGGGATTTACAAAGGCTAGGAACATGACCCAAAAAAAAGGCAGCTACCCTGAGAATTATAAAGGACATCCCCTCAGACAGTTTCTGTGACGTAAAAAATCTTGAGGTAAATGAAGCTAAGACAATGTATATGGTAAAATCATGAAAGACACATACTGTGACAACATCAAAACAGGCAACATAACATTTGAGAGTGGATACTTTCAAATATCTAGGGGCTACTATACACGAGCATAATGAAATAGTGACAGAGGTAAAAGAAGGGATAACAGCAGGCAATCGTTCTTAATTCAGCCTATGAAAGCTACCAGGAAGAAAAAATCTCTCAAGGAGAACCAAAAAAAAAACATATACACCAGTATCATAAGAAAAGTTGTACTTTACACAGACGAGACTTCCTTAGCAAAGAAAGCAGAGAACCTTGTGCATGATTTCCTCATCAACACCAGTAACAGAAACATTGCAAATCCAATCTACATGCATAGGAGCCAAAATGATCAATAAATTGATCGTGGGCCCTTAAGATATAGAAGAAGAATACATTGGAGAGAAAAATCCTCAGGAAAATATAATGTCTGATGACAGACAATGATGGATGGAGAATTTGTACAAACCAAGAGATATATCAATTGTTTGAAGACCCATCCATTGTGGAAACAATTTAAAAAAGCAGACTGTCCTGGATAGGGCACCTTGAGAGGATGCCAGATTGTAGAGCATGAAAAGTGATTCGACAGGTAGAAACAAAGGGGCAGAGGGCTCACTGGTTAACCCAGACTGACATTATTGAACAATGTAGAGGAGGATTTACATCAACTGGGGGTCTGAAGATGGAAGCAGAAAGCGATGGTTGGATCCAAATGGAAGGATGTGGTGGAGCAGGCCAAGGCCCTACATGGGCTGGCGCCACTGATGATACTATCAATGACTAGCAGTTTCAGTCATTATTCCAAAAAATATGTTATAAGTTGATGGTAAACTCAGCAACTTTGTCAAGACAGACAAACTTTACATTAATTCATTATTAATTTAAATACAGGAAGTGGAAGGAATCTGTATTACTGCAGCTAGCATAATTAAACGAAGAATTTTGTCTAATTACATCTAAATTAATATCAAATTCATCAACTGTCCATTTGTAATACATTTGCTATAGACGAGTGTAAAAAAACTCAAAATGTGACAAAAACTAGACTTATAACAAGCTATTTCGTTTAAAGGAGACGATGTAGCCATTTATTAATGATTTAAACATGCTTTTTTTAAATGTGCCCACAGTGAAAGGAGGACTACTCATTTTTTATTCGTGCATTCAAAACATTGATGAAAAAATTATAATAAATATTTTTTTTTTCTTTTTTCTGTACAGTTTTTCATGCTGTTGTACAGTTTTTTGTTACTTTTGTATTTTTTTTTTAATCCCACAGGTTGTCATGTATGGCCAATATATGTAGCATTGGATACAATAAATAGAATCTATGCTTATTTTAATCACAAACCACACCCTGATTTTTCTTTTTTTACCACTATTTAAGAGTCTTTTTTGCAAGTGCAAAAGAGAAACATCTATGATTCTGCTCTAATTTGTAACATAGTTAATTATTTTGTTTAACTAATAGTTTTTTTGTGTGGCTAAATGACATTTTTTAAAAATATGACTTCACTAGCAAAATTAAAAATCTCGTAATTATAGCTTTATATTCCATAATAATGTTCAGGTTGCTGAGCTAATTGGGCCAGTTGAAGTTACAATTTATGGAAATGTAAGTTATGTTCCCTGCTCTAAACAATTTAAGAAAGTTGATTTCAATTTTAAATGTTCAATATCAATACTTTTAATTTAATTAATTAAGAATTCTCATTCAGTTAACAAATCTCTTAGGAATCCATCTTTGACTATTTTAGAGAAAATCTTGGATAAGTTAAATGGGGCAGTAAATTAAAAGATTTTAAAAATATGTCTACTCCTTACAGTTGAAATGGAAGACATAAAGTATTCTCAAATGCAAAAACCAGTCAGTATAAGTTTTAAAACCCCTCTTCCATAATGGCAACATTGACTTATAATAGTGATTTTTTTATTTTATAACTGCACACACCAATAAATTGTGACAGATTGGGGAACAAATGAGTTTCTATATCTTTAATTCCTTACTTTGAAGGAAAGAATTCATTCCTGATAATCGAGTTGATCTTAAGTAACTGTATTGGGTGGGATTAATCCCCCAAATTTCTTTTACATTTTACAAGTGGATCTTGCTTTATATAAATTCTTCAAGCAATGGTAGTTTCGTTTGAGTGCTATTACTCACCTACTCCATAAGTCTATTTAATGTTTTGGGTGAGATACAATGAATTAGATCTACCACACGAGCAGTGTGATGGGGATGCAATATTATATAGTTGCTTGTTAAAGAATCATCACTAAATCTCCCATTTAAAGATATGTTCATTCCTCTCAGACATTTGATGTATTGGTGACCCCAGACCCAATCAATGTGGCATATTCTAGTGTCGGGCTTGATTTACACATGGACTTGGCCTACTATGAATCTCCACCTGGTCTACAATTACTACATTGTCTTAAGTAAATTTTCATACATATATTATAGAATCAAAAAGATAAACTACGGTTCATTTTGATATATAAAGCATTGTAAATTTTCTTCATTCTTCTATGAATTTGATTTTTTCAAATACTGTCTGAGAATTTAACTTAGGGCCATCATATGTTGTAAAACCTGGCCTCCATGAATGACACCACCCAATTGTGGCAGATTTTTTTACATAAATTAGACACTTATATCACACATGGTCACACATTTGTGACACCCCATCCCTCCCCATCTGGACATGTGACATCATTTATGGATGGTCCTAAATCTTCAAAGATATTAGATTTTCAAACTTTTTTAAGGATACACTTTATTTTGTTTCTTGTCATAAATTGAATAGATAAAATTTGTATTAATTTATGTACACCAAAAAATGCAATAATACTAAAGATTTAAATTAAAACTATTTTTCTCACAGATTTGATGCTTGTGTGGAAGGAGGAGAAAGCACATTTTTGGATGCTTTTGCTTTGGTGGATCAATTTAGAATAAATTATCCAGATCTTTTTAAATCTTTGACAGAAATACCAGCAACATTCCAAAAAGTCCATTATAAACGGTCAGCTTGAATACAAAAATTGTTTACACAGTTGACAGAATATTAGAAAATCTATAATATTTCAAGAGGATTTTGTAATAATGGAAACAATAATGTTATTAAAAAGAGATTATTTCCATTTTTTAAAGATTTTTTTAATGCATGTAAGCTAATATAGGCATTTTTTTTATCAATAACCCTAGTGATAACCCAGTCCACATTGTCAATCAGAAGCCGCATATAAGGCTTAACCATTTGGGAGAGGTAATATTTTACCCATTTTTTTCCCCTAACATTTATAAATAAATAGCATGTCATTAAAAAAAAAAAAAAATTATCATTAAATATTCTTTTACAAGAAATTTTGAATAGCTAAATTCTTGTTTAGATTGTTCAATCATTTTAAAAAAAAAGATATCCTGTGCAAGTTATGAAAGAACATTTCATAATGAGAGTAAATAAAATCTTTATCAGGTAGTTGCTGTTTACTGGGCAACACCATTTGAAGGACCTCTATCTGTTGATGAGGTAAAAATATTAACTCATAGTCTATTGCACAATATCAGAATTGGGGGCATGGCAAACCATCATAAGAAATAAATTAAAGTTAAAGTTGAGAATTTTACGAAACTATTCTTTTAAGTCAAGAAACACCTTCATCAATTTTTTGTGTCTTTTTACAGAATGAAGTAATGCGTTACTACTTGGCTTATGAGATGTTTGCAAAAATGATAAGAGACTCACCAAATCTAGTAATTATTATATTTGTATCTAAAAAAAAATATTTAAAAAAAGTTTCTCAATCCTTTGTTACAAATTTCATGTTATTCCATAAAAAAACATAGAAGCTAAATTGAGGTTTTACTTTTGCCTTTTATTAGTTTGTGCAACCACAAAAAAGGTTGATAAAACTTTAAAAAATCACAGTTGTTAAATCGTAACTGAGCAAGAAACTATGAAGTGACCCTTTGTGTTATTAAAAGTTATAAAAAAATGTGCTACTTGTTTCATCCATCTGAAGCTTGCAACTTAATATATTAACGTCCCTGTGATGATTCTTTCCTATCCAGTTACAACACAGATTGCAGCCAGGAGAGCTTGTAGTCTTCAACAACCAGAGAATGCTTCATGGTCGCCAAGGGTTTCAAATCAATGGAGGCTCCAGGCATCTCAAGGTAAATTCAAATTTATTTACTCTTTGGTTAATTTTATCATTCAAAGAGCTTAGTGTTTTAATCATGTTTCCATTCTTCCTTGAAGTTCATTGTTCAGACTTCAGTACCTTTCTTTTTACTTAACTTCTTTGTACATGTATGCTTGCTTTCAATTATGTACACCAAGGCATCATCTGATCCTGCTTCTAAATGAATTTGTACTCTTTGCAGTAATAAACTTAAGCACTAAATTAAATAGACTAATAAATGTGTGCTCTTTTAATCATAGAAAAAATAAGAATGTATGTTGCCAAGTACTTTGTGAAGTTTATGTACATGTCATAAACTCTGGAATTTGAGTGCTGCACTACACTAGCTGAGAAACATGTTTTTTAGGATGAATACATTGTTCTCTCCTGTGTAATTAATTGTGTCATTATACTTTTCCCTCCCTTTTTATGACCGAAAATAAAAACATGCCTATGTTGTATCAAATTTTGATTACTTTAAGGGTTGCTACATTAACATAGACATCTTCAAAAGCAAGACACAAGTTTACAACAACCTATTCGGAGATGGGCGCCGGGCCAAAAGGGTTGGAAATCAGTGCTGGTTTTGACAGCGTGCATTTACTTAAAATGAATCATTTAAAAAGTGTACAACTAACAATCAAAACATTTATGAAGCTAAATTTATTAAATTAATGCATGCCTAAAGATTTTTGTCTAGAAATTTTATTGGCTTTTTACAGGATGATCTCATGGGCACATACTTTTAAACTATATGTCCTTAGAAAATTGTAGCTTTTTTATAGCATTTACCTAGAAAAAATATGTGATTAATAAAATATATATTTGTTCCAATGTAATTTCAAAACTCCAAGACCGTATGAATTTCTTCAAAACACTGTGTGTAACTGTATTTGAAGATTTTATAATTTTTTAATATTTATTCTTGAAACAAAAAATGACAGAGAATTTAAGAAATCAACTTTTCCTTAATTGCTTTTTTATAATTGTTGTTGAAAAACTCAACTTTTTTTCTTTCCAAATGCTTTGTAGTCCTATATTTTCAGCAATAGTATGAGGGTTCTTAATAATATTAGTTCTTAACAACTGACAAAAGTTTGAATGTTTATGTAAAAATTGAGACATTTAAAAAAAAAATTATTATTATTTATTTTTAAACACAAATCTCAGAAATATGATGTAGTTATTCAATGTTGAGAATGCAATACAAAAAAGTCAAAGCCAAAATGAAAACACATTTATCTGGTTCATGATTTTATTCCTTATAGGCTGCATCATTATATTGTCACATTGTGTGCCTGCTTAGTTCATTAACTTCAAGTTCAAAAAATTGCACTGTGAAAACACTAGAATTATTTACAAAGACAATATTACTGATGATATTTTTTCCATATAAGTCAATAATAAATAAAAAGCACAGGGAAAGCATTATTGTATGATCATTTGAAATCCAACAGTGGTGTACCTTACATAAGAAATAAAATGAAGTCTTATACTTTGTGTATTGTATCATTCCTTGACATATTTACTTTTTAATGATTAAAATGTAACACTAGATATGAAATGAAAATCTTTTAACCCATCTAAATTTCAGAAATCACCTATTATACATATTGGGAATAAATATATATTTTATAACAGTTTAAGATTGAGGCTACAGCTGTATATACCTGGAGGATAGTTACTGTACAATGCAGTATACAGATTATAGCATCACAATGCCCACCAAAGCATACAAGTTCCCTTCCTTCATGTTTCCACAGCAGATAACTCTTACGAAAAATCCAAATCAACCTGAATTGATGCAGCTGATAATACTATTCTGACATTTATAAAAAAAAAAAAAAAAAGAATTGAACAGCTTAAACAATTTGTGGAAGTTTTCTAATCCTTCTGCATTTTATAAATAATAAAAGTAACCAAAGGAGGGAAAACTGCTAAAGTAACTCCATTATAAAACTATTCTAACATTTATAAAAAAAAAAAAAAAAGAATTGAACAGCTTAAACAATTTGTGGAAGTTTTCTAATCCTTCTGCATTTTATAAATAATAAAAGTAACCAAAGGAGGGAAAACTGCTAAAGTAACTCCATGATGGTGCTGTACCCCATAAACTAAGTCATCCCAAAAATAAAGCAAAAATACTGAATACTAAAATATCACCAAAAACAGCTTTCACCACACTTATTGCACTTTATAATAACCCAAGCAATCTCATTCGTTCAATTTTTTTATTAAAAAGCAATTATTTTAAAACATGTCAAATATGACCCAAGCAATTATAGTATGACTACATCACCATCCACTTGATGCTATCAAGGAAAACATTATGTGTTTTAGATAGATAGTCCACATTCAAAGATAATCAAATTATATACATTTAGCCAGCTAATGCACATTATAGCTATATGAGTACACATTTTTTTAATGATAGAAACTAGATCCTACCCTACCCAAAATCGATCATACAAAATTATTTGCAATTATTTAAGCACATCTTCTGTAATCTTGAAACATCATGCTGTCCAAAATACAGTAGAATGTATACAGTCTAACAAAAAGAACAATTGTGTATCATTGAGTGTGTATCATTCCTTGCAATCTAATGTATGTTTATATAGTTTATTGTAAGAGCAGAAGCGTTGTTTTAACACAAAAAAGGATAATCTGGCTTTGAAGAAGTATAAAACAAGGCTGTTTTAGTTAACATTTCTGACAAAAGTAGCTTCAGTAATATAAAATAATAATATTTAATGAGCATTTCTAATTTAGAAACTGAACTCATGAAAACAAAATGTGATTGATTAATAGATCTAAAAAAATTACTAATTTTTGCACTCCTGTTTTAAAAAAAAGTAATATACACATTTGAGTGAGAAACTCAAGAGGTGACATTTTTAAGCAAAATTTAAATTATTTGATATGCATGTCATTTTGATTATTTTCAAAACTTTCCTGTGTTGACCATCAAGAGGGCATAATAAAAACAAAAAGGAAATAAAAAAAAAACAACTTCATGCAACTTTATGGATTATAGATTGACACAAGATAATTTATTGCAATGAAAACCTATGAACTGAAGGGGAGAAAACAGGAAAACCCGTTATTTTAAGTGGGAGAAAACAGGCAAACCTATGATTTGAAGGGGAGAAAACAGGCACAAGTGCAACAAGTATTTTCATGAAACATGTCTGGTCCTTTTATTAATCGAATTCAGAGCTATAAGAGAAACACAAAAATTTCCTTAATCCACAAAGAATGTGACAAATCACACTGTAATATTATATTTTAATCTATTACCTGAACATTACAGGTTTTAAACAAGTTACCCTTGCTTAGAAAAACATTGTTTTCTTACATTATAGGTTTCCCAAGGAAAACAAATAGATTTCCAGATGAAAACAATAGAAATGAAAAATGTAAATAAAAAAAAATTATTAACTTGCATTTAGTTGTTTTTTTTTAAAAAACTGATATTTCCATGAAGGGCCTATAGTAGAAGAGTTCAAAATTTTAAAAAAATTATGTTTTTCTTATTTGTGTAGTAAAATTGTATAAAAAATATTTCTACTTAGTTGACTAGTATTTCTGGAGTTCTGAAATCAAGAGGTTTGTTGAAGTATGTTGACGTTTTGTTCCTTGTGAAAATGTAAATGACAGATTCCATTTGTTTTATTCTTTAAAGATATTGACCAATGAATTGTTTGGAAGTACTAAAACAATCAGTCAGTATATATGTTCTTAAATTATTTTTATATTGTGACTTTCCAGAGGTCTCACATTGCACATGGGGAGACTTTAATGCATAATCTAAAACACAATAATTGTAAATTACCACATGACAAATTATTTAGTAGGCAGGCAAATACAATTTTTGTTTTTTGTTAAAAACATTTTTCAGTGATAAAAACTTAACACTGAAACATTTTAATTTTATTATTCTAAAGTGCACACAAAGGAAATAATCAAACTCGTTTTCTTAAGGACATAAGCATGAATTGGTAATTCAATAACTTTTTGCTACTTATACTAGCCCTGAATTAAATCTAGTTTATCAAAGAAACTTTGTCTTTATCCATTTCAACACAGCAATACAGATATTAATTGGTGAGATTCAAGTATAACTATTTAATACTGAAAATAACTCAGTAAATTTATTAACATTAAAAAAAAATAATTAACAAATAGGCCTACTGAAAATTTTCTCTTATTTATGTTTGAAACATTAATAGAAATGCATCATTTCTTGCATCTATTAATATAGGGTGGAAGAATTTAGGCTTACACCTTTTGTGTACCAAGAGATGGAATTACTGGTTAAGACAAATACAGCATAAAATTGGAGTTTAAATTAGTTTTAATTGAAAGCATGCAACTTTGTACTTATAAAATCAAAATGTAATTCTGATTTAATTTGGGACAACTCCAGTATTTTTAAGTTTACTGGGTTTTTAAAAAAAAGTTTTAGATAAAATTCATAAAGATAATTTATTTCTTGAAATCCCCCATAACATTAGATAACATAATCCAAGGAAATGAAAACAAAATAAAATGACAATCATGATATAACAATCATGATTTAAAAAGTTAATGTCACAATCCTTAATAATTTCATCTATCAAATTATAAATATTAATTTTATCTCCAGACCCCAATAACTTTATTCATGCCAGAAAAAAGCATGATATTTAAAAAAAGATAAATGCATTTCATCTTTACACAAAATATGCAACACTTTTCTTCACAGGTAAATAACAAAGTATTGTTTCAACTATACTTTTTTAAAAATGTTTATTTACGAATACAATTTCTGCAAGTCAATTTTCACAAGTTCTGATTTTACTATAAGTAATAATCGACTATACAAATTAATATTTTATAATGTTATAAGTCTGTTTGGAAAGCATACTATATTTCTAATTCTATTTGTTGTATTTAAAATTCAAATAAGTTTCCAATATAAAATCAAAGCATTTAAGTGGATAGATATAAAAACATTTGGGTCTTCAATTTGTTTTTTAACAGTTTGCTCCTAAATTTATCACTTTTCAACATTTTCAGCTGGAAATTGTGCATTATTCATGATTCTAGTCAAATTATTTATCACTCCCCACCCTTAATTATTTAATACAAATAATAATTTTAATGTGTTCTGAAATTCAAAATTAATATTTTTTTCTTTCATTTATTAAATGGTTAATGTGACAAAACCAGGGAAAGTAACGTGAAAAGATAAAATACCAAATAGAGAATTAACTCTCTAAATTTCCCTGGATGCATGCCCCTTTAATTAATTTTGTTTAGATATGTAATAAAGTTTGGTGCAAATTCTTCCTCCTTGCACCCCCTTCCTGGAGCCCATTAATATCAGGTAAAAGAACACAATCTGTGCATATTCATTTTATCTCTAAATGCAATTTGACCAGGATGCTCACAATTAAATGTAGTTGAACCAGTCCTACCTACCCAAATCAGTTAGCCAAGTATATTGTGTATATCATTGTGTAAATGGTGTATTGATATTAATGATCAATGTGAGCAACATAAAAAAAGACTACCAATAATGCAACAAATATTTATATTTGCTTTAATTCAGAACAACTTGGAAAGACAAGGAAAGAAGCTAAAACATGAATGTATGTATATACAACCACATCGCTAGAGCAGTGTTTCATTACATGCGCCAAGAGTAATATCACATTTAAACAGAATGAAACCGTATATTTAGTTTCCCATTTAAAGGGCTTGCCTCATGCAAGCAGTGTCCATTCATATTTTAATGCATTTTTATATTTATTTATTAAAGTATATGATTTCTCCACAAAGTAATTTTAGGTTCAAAGAGAAATATGTTCTTTATAAAATGTACTCGCTGGAACAAACATAAGGATACAATAGAATTATTGAAGACCCATTAAATTTGTAATGACATTTAAGAATATTAAGTTAAGGTAGAATAAACATATTTAATTAAATTAATTATGAGTAAGAATAAGAAGATAATGACTTAAACCAATCAAAACATGGCACTTAACTTATCAGAATCCTATATGAAAACATGGCAGACCAAATTGTACAAAATACTTTTTAAATAAACTTCGATGGGGTTTTTAAAAAAATAAATAAATTTAGTTCACATGAAGCCCAAACTAAGTAAACCTTTCCATCTGTAAAATTCATACTAATTGCTTCATGTTAGGGCATCCAGATGTCAATCACAGGAGGATATTACATGGCTAAAAATTAAATTCTTTTTTTTTAAAATTAAAAAGCCCATATTCTGTACCATTTTCTCCAAGAGGATCGATCATATAATGTAAACATTCCTGATGATCATTGTAATGTTCAAGAGTAATAAGAAGAAATGAGTTGGCCCTGCACTGACACATCATTGTCCAAAGAGTGACAGTAAAACAATGTGTGTGAAGAAAGTATTTCAGAACAGTTACATCAAATATGTTGCTCAAAAGTATGGGGCATACATACATGGCTATTTTAGGAGAAAGAGATTGAGCATTAAAAAAAATAAACAGTCTGATATTCACTGATGAAAGCAAGTTGTGAAATATATTTCAAAATTACAAAACTATTTTTATACCATTTTTAAA